ATTCTTAAGAAAAACCAATGTTGTTGTGATAAAACATTCTTTTCTGGCGCAAGATGTTTTTTAAGTAGCGTCATGAGTTCTGGGTATGTTTTTGTTGCTGGTAAATCTGGGGATGTTAACTTAGAAATTTGTAATATTAACTACTTAGACAATTAATTAACATCATTACTTTTGCGTCATTTTTATCATTGTCATCATCAGTTAGACCTTTAAGATTAAAGAAATTATCTAACCTTTGCAAATAACTATCGAAATTTACATTAGGATCAAAGGAAATAGCTTGTGTTTGGAGGACTTCCTTGACACTCTGACTTGTGCTGGGTTTATTTTAAATGTCTATAAAGCTGGCATGGCAAAGTCATAAGCCCGCAAATCGACATATACTATATTTGTTTGCTAATTTTTTGCTATTTTTTTACCCAATTTTTATTTTTTTTTGCTTTTGCCGTTACCGAGAAACATTGGCCATGCTAGCTTGATTTTTTAAGCTACATGGCCAGTGCTGTATTTCTGATTCTATGAGATATATCAGAATTGGGTATGCGGCATATTTTTTGCTAATTTTTTCCTCTACAAATATATATCTATTTATTTTTTTGTTCTTGTGGTTCGTAAGAAGCAATGGCCATGCTAGCTTAATATTTAGGTTACAATGGCTAGTGTTGTATCTGTTTCTTTAAGTGTATCATAATCGGGTTTGCGGTATATTTTTTTGCTAATTGTTTGCTCTACAGATATATCGTCGGCTTATTGCCAAAAGTGACCAAGTCAGATAAACAAACTTTTGAGATAAACAGTTTTAAATATTAAACTAGTGACCTAAAATCAAATGTTGCATTAATTGGTTTATTAAATAGTAGGCAACTAAATTTACTTTGACTTAGTCAATTTTTTCAGAGTAAATAGTTTTATAGTTTTAAGTGATTTGGTCGATAAAAACAAAAATGAGATTTTTTTGACTTGGTCACTTTTGGCAGTACGCCGACGATATATCAATTTATTTTTATGCTATTGTGGTGCCAAAGAAACAAGGGCTATGATAGTTTAATACTTAAGCTACAATGACCGAAAGAATTTTTTTTTGTTCTAATAGTTTTCGGGAAATATTAACCCCTTTAAATTAAGAAAACCATCTTCAATACCAAAAGAGATATCAAAATGATTTTTATTCCATATTTTGTTGCTGATTTAATACTGCTCATTAGTATCTAATCAGTGTTAACAATCAGTTCAATATCATAATTTTACCCAGGATCACGTAACATAGTGCATTCGAGTAATATAAAATATCTATAAGTGTAATTATACTATGAAAAACAAAAGAGGTATTTACAAAGATGCTCTCTTTAATTCTCTCCATAAAAGGTAAGTATTGTAATTGTAAAAAAGCCACCTTCCGAGATTATTTCATATTTTTACGTTTTAGGGTATCTAAAACCAAAAACCTATTACCAAAAACATGTTTCCACATTCCGTCGGTCTGCCTGTCGTCTCTCTGTTGGCACGATAGCTGAAAAACGGCTTTATAGAAAAATTTAAAATTTTGTATAAAAGTCAGGTTATTTTTTGGCTCAAAACCAGCTATATTTTCGATTGGTTATATACAGGGTGAGCAGTTCTTTTTTAATGATTTTTAGAAGTCGGCCGATTTCGACCAAAATTAATATCTGAGAATTTTAGAAGCCAAAGAAAACAGATCTTAAATAAATTTTTCAAAATTCAAAATGGCGTTGCAAGGAATCGCATTTAATCAAAAAAGGTCCCCCTTAAATGGAAATAATAGAACTCGTCCTTTTGGTTTGTGTAACTGGACCATTTTAAAAGAAGCCAATCATTATTATTCAATACATATGATTTTCGAAAAAGTAAATACAAACTAAATGTGATTAGTGATTATGTGTTTAAAAAAATGTTTAGAAAAGCACTTATAAGCGAAAATTTTGCAAATGACGCTTAGTTTTTTTTGATCCAAATACTTTCATTCAATATACTATTAATGTGGAGTTTATCAATATTTTAAAAGCATTTGTTTTCAAACCTTATAGTCCAATTAATGAAGGACTGAAAAGATCGAAAGCTGTAAAAAAATCGCTGATGAGTTCCCAAGTAGCTCAATTTGTAGGTCATCGCAGGTGTTTTTAAATGAGAAAATATTTAACGCGTTCTTGGTACCGGAAGGGGCTGAAAATGGACCCCTAAACTCTGAAAAACGGATTTCCGGCTAATATCTGGCTAAATATGCCAACAGCTCATTCTCTACAAAAATGATCCCTACCAATTTTTTCGCAATGCCAATATTTTTTGCAAAATCAGACTTCGAAAAATCCATAATTTTCATATAGATATGGTAGTTTCTTGTCGAATTTCCGCTCGATGGGGTTGGAAATGCATTGATCTTTATCTTTTGGACTTTAGAGACCAATTGGAGATGGCGCCAGCACCTTTGCTTTTCTCGCTAAATTACGGAGTCCCTAAATGAAAATCTCGGAAATAATCGATTATTCGACAATTACTGGCGGATTTCACCTGATTTTTTTCTACAAAGTAGCGCTTGGGCTTTCTCAATTGTATTAGCGAACGTTCTGTGCAATTTGAGTTCCCAGAAAGAGTTTACCAGAAAATTGCTAAAATTTATTTTTCCTTGTGCCAAGGTCTTGAATCCCGTTGTTTTGGCTAGAAGCAAATAACAACTTTTAAAGCGTGGTAAATATTCACCATACAACCATTCTAAACATTTTTCGCCTTTTTGCGATTTTTTTTGCAACCTTTTTTCAGAATAGTATGGGTGCAGGATTTCGGAAAAAATATGCAAGTCTTTAAAAAATTACATTTATTTGGAAGAATTGGTTGGATATAAAACATACATAACAACCACTCCAAGTCATTAGAATCATATACTTATTCTTCATCGTCAACGGTATTCTCGTCGCCTACTCCCTCTTGCTCCATTTCTACCCTTCCCCCTGTCGTCCTTTCTCTCTTTTCCTCCAGCTGTATTTCTGCCTCCTCGCTTTGCAACCCTTCTGTATCTTCTTCCACCTCTAATTTTCTAAACCACGAGTAACATTTACACCGTCATCCACAATACCCTCCTTACAAAGAAAGCATTCTGGAATGGAATCCGCTTCCATTTCAACAACACCAAGAGCTACCAAAAAATAGATGATCCAACCGTTAGAACAATTACACCAAGTTTTTAAAGTTGAGGCAAAATAAAACAAACCTTATTTTTTGCTTCCAACAAAAATATCCTTGAATATTCTTTCTTGTAGGCAAGAATAACGTGGAAATTTCTCACTTTCTTTCTTTTTTTTTATAACTGAATTAATTTAATGAAAAATATTTATTTTATTTTAAATAAATAATTCAAAATAAATAATGAAAAAATATCATCAGTACATCAATAATCCGGTCAAGCCGACGACTCCAAAACAGAGATTGTATACCAGTATACACACACATGCAGACAACTATCGCCGCGTTAGATTATATACGAGGTTAGATTATATACAATATCATGGATCTCAGAGGGGGAGCGTAAAAATTAAGTATATAATTGTAACAACCTTTTTAGAACCAAAAACGGATATTGGGATTGACTTATATCAATGGAAAGATCATAATACAAGCATTACTTTGATCTAGTTATTAATCCTCAAAAAATAAAGAGCGGGGAACAAGAAATGGTTAAACAAAAAAAGGCCGGTTTTCACTCGTGTGATCAATTTTCCTTATTTCTTGAAAATTATTAGACTCTATTAAAAATAAAAAAATATATTCGAAAAGTAGACTATCTAAGCTTTCAAATGATGTGCATTGGAAATCAATATAACGGATCATAAGATTATAATTCGCGCTTGTTCCGAAGATTCTATGGAACTCCAAAATCGGCTAAAACATGTAAATAAACAAATCAATTTTGTATTAAAACGCAAGAAAAGTATTACAAAAAAATTTCTGAGATCATTCAAGACCCTCCAAGGTCCCATTATAAAGATAAAATTAGAATAAATGACTAGTTTTAAAGAAAATATGAATAAATTAATAAAGCAGTCTCTAAATATTGTTGAAAAAAACTTTGACCGCCTTTTTAAATACTTTTGGCAAATACGAATTAACTTCAAGTCACATGAAATTGTAGCTACGGGTTTTCCTATTGCGATGAACTTTGATTCATCGAAAAATATCAATTTTTTCCCGAGATATGGAACAATTGGTCCGCCCGCTTCCTCGTTAATTCATAGAAAGCGGAATTCCTGCAGGTAGAACAGCAGCTGAAATGAAGGGACTTTTGAGTGCCATTATCTCGAAAACTATTGAATTTTCGAAGAAAACGATAAGGGCCATTTTTGTACATAATGATCTTCATTTTTTGTCTGAGCAAAAATTCTCTAATTGGCATATTCAGTCAGATATTAGCGGGAAACCCATTTTCCAGGTTTTAAGGGTACATTTTCAGCCCCTTCGGGTAACAAGAACACGTTAAGAATTTTCTCGTTTAAAAACACCTGCGATAACCTACAAATTGCGCTATGTGGGAACTCATCAGCGAATTTTCTACAGTTACTGGACTATCAGTGAGAAAATCATTTAAAAAATATTTTTCTCTAAATATGCCATCCTTGTCAGAATTTTCTAATGTTAGGACTCTCTTATCGTCCGACCAGCAGTTCCTTCAAAATAAATTATAGTATTGCGTAGATAATAATTCAAAAATAAAATTAGTAATTTTATTTCTTTTTATTATCTTTTTTATTCTTTTCCTCTCATTTTCCATGAAACAATTTAAAAATTGCTACACAAAATCAACGAAGTCTCTCGCATTAATAAAAATAAACCTAAAGTGAAATAATTGTTTTCCGTTTGCTGTTAGATTACAAATTCCCCGATAATCCTATTCCATTCCCTACTGTATCGTCCCTATAACGTATAAATGAAGCGTCCAGACGGACGCTATTCGATTCCAATCAGAGCAATAATTTCGAAAATTGAGTTTGCAGATTCACGAAATACCATACAGCCAGATGGAGTTCGGTTCCGAAGTCAAATCCATGGTCTTCGAATATATGGTTCAATTGTCAGTTAGATTCGGAGCTAATAGGGACACGGCTCAACAGGACGCCAGAGAAGTATTGAGATTGTTTCAGGAACTGTCCAGAGTAAGTTTTAAACTTCTACCGTTAAAAATTATTGAATTTTTGCTTTAAAAATGATGGTAAACAGAATGAAATAAATTATCTATCTAAAAGTTTAGAAGTGTATTTTCCAAATAGGAGAATATTTAATTTGAACCGTTCTCCACTCTTGCCGGTATTAATAGTTCTACATTTACTGATTAACCTTTATGTTTGCACTAAATTCGTATTTTTTTTTACTTGTTCTTTAATATACTAATAGACCGGATGAAGCGACATGTTTTGTGAAACGATTTTTTACGAAAAAGTAACAGTAACGATTATCTAAAGCGTTGCTTTGCAGCAAAAGTAACGTGTTGCTTTTTTTAGTATAACGTTCCCAGGTCATGTGATACGCATTGGAATTTCAGTTATTTCCATAGATAAATTAATATTAAAAGATAAACCGTTTAAATGCACGGCACTGGTAACAAGTGGTTAGTTCCGGCCATACTATTTGGAGCCACCATCGCAAATAAGATGAAAGCAATGTTGCCAGTTTCCATAAACATTCATGAGATTAGAGTTATTTCAAACGTACAAGTTGCACCTTATTTTGTTTTTATCGTGTTCGATCTTCGAGCTGAAATATACAGTGAGCATCATAAGTCTTACCCCCTGACTAACTCGTTACTGAAGTCTTGTTAGGAAAATCTCTGAGGCACGTCGATTTTTATTTCTACAATGTACATTTTTGTATGAATAATTTACCCTTAATTTCATCCCTTTCGAAAAATTTAAATGGCATAGGGTGGTGAGTGATAGCTTATTTGAAAGGGGGTTTTATTCTCTATTCAACCGTACAAAAAAAATTTAAAATTTGCTACATTACGTGTTGATTTATTAATGTTTAAAAATAATAAAACATCCCAAAGGAAAGCAACTAAACTAACAGTGACCTTATCTAATGGCATAAAGTCTTACTTCACGTCTGAACCAAAACCGATATTATGCAGGACCGAATTTTTATTCTAAGGATGAGTGCGCTACGTTAATTTCCGTTATTCTGAACCAATAATTAGACGAGAATTAATAAAGCAAATTTCAAAATTTTTTGCACGGTTGAATAGAGAATAAAACCGCCTTTCAAATGAGCTATCACTCACCACCCCATGCCATTTAAATTTTTCGAAAGGGTTGCTCCCCTCCAGTAAGGGACGAAATTAAGGGTAAACTATTCATTCAAAAATGTACATTGTAAAAATCAAAAATCAACGTGTCTCAGCTATTTTTCTAACAAGACTCCAGTAGGGAGATTTACGTTCAAAGGAATGGAAATTTTCGGGTATTAACGGAGATTCGGCCGATCTATGTACTATTGAAGCACTACAGCCTAGGGAATTGTTGTCATTAGATCAAGCTATGGTTTTAAATAAATTTGTTGAGGATTATTTTGAGAAAATGGGCGAAACTTTAGGGTGTACGAACATGGTTGAACATCGTATTGTGTTGTTAGAAGATATAGAGCCTATCAAACAACGATTTTACCCAGTTTGTCCTGCATTAATGACACATATTGATAAAGAACTGCAAGATATGTTGAGTAAGGATATTATTAAACCTTCATCAAGCCCTTGTTCTAGTTCTATAGTAATGGTCCGTAAAAAAAACAGGGGGATGGCGCTTCTGTGCAGATTACCGGAAGTTAAATCAGTTGACTAGAAAAGATGCATATCCGCTACCTATTATATCTAGTATCTTAGATAAATTAAGAGATTCTCGATTTCTCACTAGCTTAGATATTAAGTCAGCTTATTGGCAAATTCCGGTTGAAAAGGAGTCACGACCACTTACAGCGTTTACGGTGCCTGGACGTAGTCTCTTTCAGTTCAAAAGACTTCCATTTGGTTTGCACACCGCACCTGCTACTTGGCAGCGCTTAATAGATAGAGAGAGAGAGAGAGATATGCTTTATTGTCGTAAAAAAATTTACAAAAATTTTATAGACAAAGCGTGTAACTTAAATACTAAACATATTATAAAAATAACTAAACAGCAGAAAAAACAAACAGAAACAAACAGACAAAATAGGAATAACAATTGCAATGGATATGCAATATCCGTCATTATAATTATTCTAATTTAATTTTTAAATTTAAATTTAAACTTTAATATTTAATTATTTAATTAATGCCATTGTATGTGGAACTCAAATTTCTAAGGTACGTTATAAAATTCTGCTACTGTGTAATATGGTCTTTCTAGAAGAAAAGCTTTAGCCAGTCTTCGGAACTTATCGTATGTATTTATAGATTTTAATTGCATCGGAAGGTTATTATACAATTTTTTGGCATTGTAGGTAATGGAATGTTTTAATAGGTCAGAAGTGGGCATTGTTAAATAAATATCAGTCTCTAAATTTCTTGTAGGATATCTACGAGTCGGTCTTTCGGATAAATTTTGAATGTGCTTGCGAACTAAGCAGACGGATTCGAAAATAAATAGAGCAGGAAGGGTTAGAATTTTGAAATTTTTGAAGTAATTTTCGCAATGTGTCCTACTACTTAAACCAAATACATAGCAGATTGCTCTTTTTTGCAGTTTAAAAATAGATTCGAAAAGGTATAAGCTACAAGAACCCCAGAAAGGTAAACCATAGCGAAGGTGAGATTCGAATAAGGAAAAGTAGGTTATTAATGCAGTAGAAGGAGTCAGCTCTTTAGAAACCGATTTAATGGCAAAACATGCGGAGGATAATTTTTTTGCTAAGGTATCTATATGAGCAGACCATTTTAGAGAATCGTCTATATAAAGACCTAAAAACTTGATTGAAGTCACCGTTTGGATCAGATTATTGTTTAAAGTTATAGGTTGTAAAGTACCTCTGTAAGACAATGCTACAGTTTTACTGGTGTTGAAACAAAGTCCATTCGAATCAGACCAGGACTTAATAGTCACTAGATCTTCACTTATGATAGATTGTAATGTCTGCATGTTAGAATTATTCCAGGTTACACTGGTGTCATCAGCAAATAAAGTAATTCTACCACTTATTCTTAAGTCTGTGATGTCGTTGATGAATAATAAAAACAAAATTGGACCTAATACTGATCCTTGAGGTACTCCACTGCTTATTGCTAGATTTGTAGAATCCTCACCATTCGCCCGCACCTGTTGATTTCTATTTTCTAGGTAAGTTTTAAACCATTGTAAAGGAGAACCCCGTATGCCATAAATTTGAAACTTATTAATTAAAATATCATGATTTACACAATCGAAGGCCTTTGCGAAGTCACAAAATACTGAAGCGGTAAAAAGTTTATCATTAAGTGATGTGTATATTTCATTAAGAACGGAAAACATTGCGTCGCTAGTGCATTTTTTAGGTAGAAAGCCATACTGATGAGCTGTGAGGATGTTATGCTTGAAAAGAAAGGGCAAAAGACGGTTTTTCATTAGCCGTTCTACTATCTTCGATAAGGTAGGCAATAACGCGATAGGTCTACAGTTACAGGTTTTGGTTTTGTCGCCACCTTTATGAAGCGGGATTATTATAGCTGTTTTTAGACAGTTAGGAAAGAGACCAATTTCAAAGGATTCATTAATCAGTGAAGTTAAAATGTTGATTACTACATCCGGTATATTTAGAAATATTTTGGTGGACAGGCCATCAATTCCACAGGAAAATTTATTTTGGATGTTGTTTATGGTTTATACTAGTTCATACTTGTCTACTGGTCTTAGGAAGAAACTTTCAGTGATCCTTTTAGTAGGTAGGAGGAAGGAGAGAGCATCCTGACTCGGAGCTATGTTAGATTTGATATTTTTACTTACATTTACGAAATAATTGTTTAGTTCATCTGGGCTAGGATTTACACTGTTTGAAGAACGGGTTTTATTCCTTAAGTCATTTATTATAGACCAGGTTTCTTTGGAGGAGTTTTTAGCTCTTGCGATGCGATTTTTGTAATAGTTTTTCTTAGCAGATTTGGTGATTTTCCGATACAATATTCTGTAGTTGTTGATATAGTTTAATATTAGAGGATTATCTGTGTACTTTTTAATATACATGAGTGACCTCATATTTTTAGATGATGTTCTTATTCCTTTAGTTGTCCAAGATTTATGACATTTAGTTTTAATGGGGCGAAGGGGGAAAGCTGTATTGAAACACATAATTATTTTATTTAAGAAGTCTAAAAATTTAGAGTCAATATCTTCAGAAAGACCATTCCAATCAGTAGTTAGACATAAATTATAGAATTTTTTGAAATTATGCTTAGAGAAAATTCTACCTAGCTGACGGACTTTTTTTGGAGCTGTACGGGGTATCAAAAATTTGGCAAATACTGCTTCGTGGTCTGAGAGACCTGAGCTAATTACTTGGTGCTCTACATCAACGGGTTTAAAATCAGAGACTACGTAATCTATAATTGTAGATGTTGTTTCTGTGATTCTAGATGGAGAATTTACGTGCATAGTGAGACTGAATGATTCAAAAATATTGATCAAAAATAGAGTTTTAGGAGTAGATTTAGAGCCTTACTGTTTTGTTTATTTGGATGACATTATAGTCACGACTGGGACTTTCGAACACCATATGGAAATTCTAGGAAAAATCTTTGATCGTTTAATATTAAAGTTGAAGGTGGTAGCCATGTGTGAGTTATAAGTTCAAAAAGGTAATTCAAACAAAGGTGGTCCTTAGGATCTCACAAGGGTATTTTATTACGACCGGTTTCGAGGATCAAATCCTCATCATCAGGTAAGGTCTAAAAATAGAGAGGAAAAACGAATGAGCTCATAACTAATAAGTGGGTTTAAACATTTTAATATGAAAGTTGTCAAATATCAAGAACTCACCCGTAATTACTCATCTATTTAAGACTAAGCTAATAGAATTATCCCAGGGTCGGTGTAAAAACAAGTATGCGAGTATTTTTTAAAATACATAAAAAATATAAAAAAACAATAGTTGCAACAAAAAGTTGATGTCAAAACATATAAACAAAAGTAGGTCTAAAACTATTAATAAAATTATTAAA